ATGAGAGATGCCTTCTCAAAAAAAAAAAAAAAAGTGAAGCAAAACAACCCAAACCAAAACACAAAATCTACTAGTGATTTTTTTTTGGTATCTACTAGTGATTTTTTAACATCTTATCCTTATAGTCTTTTACATCACACAAGGTGAAATGTTTGTTGCATGTGGATCTCACATCCACACTCTATTTTTATAGTATTAATAGACTTACCTAATACTGCATGCTGTTATGAATGTTAACTGAAGGCACAGTCCTTTAGTTAGGTGCTCAAACTTAGATTGCACCAGGTAACACTTGGTGGTTACATAAAAATTTTAAATAGCTAGCTATAAGGCAAATCAGATGCACTTCTTAAATGCCATATCCAGCTATTTTATCGGGACAGTGCTACTATTTCCCAATTTCTATGATAATGTCCACAGTTTCAGCTCTTGGGTGTCTCTTCCATGAAGCAATATGACCATCACCCCTGGCCTGGTATGTGTTGAAGAAAAGACATGAATTATGGTCAATATTAGTTCAGAACAACTTAGACACTGTATACAGCCCAAGAGAATGAACTACCAAACACCACCTTAGGTTTCTGAGGTAACATATTGAAGCTCAGCTGGAATTCCAACCAAACTGATATAAGAAGGATCTGGTTCATTAGCCAAAAGTCCGGGTTTGGTCAGTGGCCCAGACTATACATGCGTCACTGCTTCTCCCCCAAAACTGAGTAGTATGTTTGTGGCATTGCAAAACTACAGTAACAGCATTTGATTCCAATTACAGCCTTATCAGTCAGGAATCCTTAATGCCAGGCTCAGCTTTGCTGTTTCAAACTATGACAATGGGAAAACTGCCTAAAGACCGGAGGAAAATTTTGCCTATCTCCTACCACTAACCTCATAGGAACTAAGGGAGAAGTTTGTGACTGAAGCACATTTTTTCTTATCAGAGAACATCTGAAAGAAAACCTTTTTCTTCTTTCTGCTGGAATCTGTTGTACTAAGTATTAATATAAAACAAATGAGCCCTGGCTCACATTTTAAAGATCTCCTGGCACATTTCCCAAATCCTTCAGCTTACCCCTTTGCTGATATAGCCCGCCAGCAGGAGGGAGCCTATGATAATGAGAAAGGCGCCAATCAAAAACAGCACTGTAGCAAGCGCAATAGCCTTATACGGGATCTTAGGAGGGCTTTTCTTGAACTGGAAGAGAAACAAACAAAAAAGAAAAGTAAGAGCATTATGAAAATACTAGGCCTCTATCACTTTAAAACAGGAATGATAGTAAGAACTAATCTAGAGGTTTTGTGTCTTGAAGTAAATCCTACTACCCAGTGCCGCTCTGGGAGAGTAAGGACAGGGACAGGAGGGAGATGAGGCTCTAGTTATTGTTCTAAAAGTCACTCAGAGGAGTTCTAGCAGAATGGTATTCTTTTCAGTTCTAGACTTTTCCACAGACCTTTCATTGTATACCATAAGAAACTATTTTCTTACATAAGCAAAAAACACTTTATGGCCATTAATCGACTGGAAATGTGTTCATTAAGTGGCATATGGAAGGCTGTACTAATCTATAAGGATTCAAAAGTAAACAATATGTTCTTGGGAAGTAAAGAAAATAAGTGATTTCTGGCACTCTAAGTAAAGCCAGCATATAAAGGTTTTAGAAACAGCTTTTTCTAAAGCATTAGTTGCCTGCCCCGTGAAGGAAATAACCTGACTTACCAAGTTCAATTCAAGGTTAAGATTCAAGACAAAACTTTCTAAGGTTTGACTCATAGTTGTATCTGACCTAACTAGCTGGAAGCTTCCCAGATGTACTTTAAAAAAAAATCTATCTCCTGCATGTGTAGGTCCAAAGAGGACAAAGAATAATTGATTTGTTTATATTTAAAAGGATGGGTTCTTGTCACTTCCTCCTTGGCCCTGGTTCCATCTAAAATATTCCGTTGTAAGGGAAAGTGGGCAAAGGAGATGGTACACCATCAAGTATTTTATAAATGATGATCAGGGTAGGGTATAAACTTAATAAATATTCTATTTTACTTACTGTTTGCCCCAATGAATACATTTAATAAATTGGATCTTATGACATCAGGAAAGAAGGAAGATTCCCACAATCTGCTGGCTTTAGCAGTTAATTTCTCCCTTAAAAGATGAACTGGCTTTGACTAAAGTGTAAACAAACTGATGACACAGTCCTTTAAAAAACTCTACTTAACAAACACCATCTAATTACTTTCCAGATGAACTAAATATAATTTCCAAATACTAGGCTCTGGCTTTACAACTAAAAATTCTTAGAAATGGACACTATTTATATTGGTTTGAAACTGCTCTGCCAAAGTCCCTCAGTCTGCAGGCTATGGCTAAAAGGGTCTCAGAGCTTGAGCGTCCTTCTTGCTGCTCCCTCTACTCCCCAGGGACAGTTAGCAAAACCTCCACCTGGAAGGCCTTCCTGCTAACTCAGTAGAAACAGAGCCAGCCAGTCTCACCAGACTCCTTTTGCAGTTACCTGAAGGTCAATGTAGCCATCGTCTGTGCTGGAGAGCCTTGAGTATTTCACTTTACTACTGGGGATTCCAGTAGCCAGATTGGTACGAGATGGCATCATAACACTCTGACAGAGCTACAGTCTGAAAACAAAGAAAACTATTATTCTCTGCAAGTCACAATGGTGTTATATGTATCGGGCGTTCTGGGCTGCAGTGTCATACAAGCAACTGGCAATTTAGGCTCCACAGCTCTTAGAACCTGATATTCCTTTGACAAATGAAAACATTCCCAATATGCTTCTACTCTGGTTTTTCTTGACAGAGTGAGTCAAGACATTTGCCAAAAACCAGACCTCATGTTTATCTTGCAACCACCAACATTCCCCTGCCTCTCAATTTTTTCAAAGCCACACAGGGAGTAGATGAAGAGTGGTGACTTAAATCCAAGTCCATCTGACACCAAAGTCCACATTTTCAACCATTTTACTATAGTACTGCCTGTCACCTGTCCTGTTTCAAGAAAAGGCATGAGGAACATATACTCAAGTGATTCTTTTATTTGTCCAGGGTGTGTGAATATATGTGTGATGGAATACATTCACATCAACAGTTTGCCATTTCCCCCGCTAGATAACCATTCTTTTAACGCAAAGGCTCTGTAATTAAAACTTGTAAACTATTGGCTATCAGTACTGTATCTGCGCAGTACTGTATTTGTCTGCCTCTCTGCCCCACCCCAAGCACTGAAAGTAGTGATTTTACTTTCCAGATTACTTACTTCTATAGCTCCATGAGAGAGAGGGGGAAAGAGGAGAACTGAATAAAAATCTGGTTTTTGTTCAAAATATTCAAAGTAAACTTCAGTCATGAAACCATGGCTATTTGTCACCAATTTAAGAGATACTACATAAAATTAAAAACCATGACATTTAACTAGAAAAAATTTGTACTTTGTGCACCTTCCCTCCATAAAACCACAAAGTTATATGAATGAAATAAGGAAATCTACTTTGATCCTGAAGCTATTTATTTCTAAAGTATCTTTAAAAAGATAAAATTAAGTATTTCAATAAGGGCAATATAAAAAACATAAACCATAAAGACTGGCCTTCCTCGAGTATGACACTATACAAATAAATATCATCATTATAATAAGGGCAGTTAATAATGACCTAGTGTTGGTTAGACACCAGGTACTATTCCAAGTGCTTTATATATGCTTAATCCCAAATATTAATTAGCTTTTTTAACTGGCCTGTACTCAACCTAAAACTAGCATTATGAAGGAATTTTGCTAAACGCTCATGTCCCTTCTTAGTAATTACATACTGGTGCAGAAATCAAGTATTGAAAAAACAGTATGCTAACGTATATGCTTTTCTAAAAGGCTGAGATCAAATTCATCAAATACTAAGTTTTTAAGTATTTCCACCTTGATCACATGATAATCTAAATTTATAAAACTTAGTCCAAACTACCAATATGCGGGGGGATTGAGAGCATTTAATCACGTCTGATTTGTATTAGCCTTAAAAAAAAGTGTACGTATTCTATCATCGACTATTCATAAACCCACATCAGAACATAAAAAAGCTCAGGGCGTGAGGGAGAGGGGAGACGGATGTTTACTGGCAAAGAAAATTCTAAAGGAGAAAGGAAAAATGAAAATCAATGTTTTCAAAGTCCAAGTTCCCAACAGGCTTTTTGACAGCTCCACTGCAACCCCCAAATTTCCTCAGCACCTGAATGCTGCAGCATTTTTAAAGCACCCGCAAGGTACTTAACACAGTGCCTGGCACTACACTCCTACACTCACTACTTTCCGGCCGTCTCCAACCTAGCTAGTAAGAGAAATAAGAACCGACGCGAATTTAGACGGAAAACAAACAAAACCGGTTTGGGGAAAGAGGCCAGCAGTGCCATGGGCGGCGACCGCTGCACAGCGAGGCCTCGGGGTTTGAATTCGGCTGGAGCACAGCCCCTGCCACGCCGTGAGCCTGAGGGGGGCGCCTCTGCTCCTGCCCAGCCGCACGCGCGCCTTACCGGCTGGCCGCTCCAAGCCGCCTGCGCTCCCGGTTCACCTCGCTCACAGCTGGCAGCAAAGGTACTTGAGGTCTCATGGCCAGCCTCACCTAACCGCCGCCCCACCCCCACACTCCACCTCTTCCCCCTAGCGTGCCGCCGGAAATGGCGTGCGGAAGGCGGCGCGCCGGAAGTTACGTATGATGGAGCTACGTATTCTCCCGCTGAGGACGTCGATTCATTTCTACGTTGGTATGAGCGTCCTGTTGGAAGAATCGGGGCTCTCGGGGGCGCCGACGGAGCGTCTTCCAGTAGTTTGTTGCGGGATACCTCCGCTGGGGCGGCTAGGTGTCTAGTGACCGGCTGCCTCGGTCGCAGTCAGGGCCTGTGCAGGGAGCTCAGTGGCGCCCCCAAGAGGTGTAAGCTGAGCACAGCGCTCCCGGTGGACCGAGCTACCAGGTGGGTCTCCCACTCATGGCCCCGAGCAGCCATTCTTCCCTGGGAGCACGCCACCGTCTCTGCTGGTCAGTACCCCACAACTCTTCTAGATTATCCGCACAATCTTGTGCTTCAGTTTCCCTCTCGTCATCAGGCCTTGCCCCAGTAACAGGCCCACCTCACAAGGACATTTGCTGCACACGAAGCACTTTAACACGTCAGGTTTATTAAGGTATAACTTACAGTAAAATACAAGTGGATGAGTTTTGACAAATGTGTACATTCTTGGAACCATCACCAGTCTAGATAAAGCATGTTCACCCCAGAAAGTTTCACCAGGCCCTTTTGCAATCAATCTCCTTCCCCACCCCCAGGCACACAGAAGGTAATGAAGTTACCCCACTGGATATAGTGAGTTAAAATGTCCAATTATAACTCAGTCCAGGTACTACAACAAAGAAACCAGCCATTTAATCCAAGCACAAAATACACTAGGAAAATGGACTAAACCAATTCTCAATAACCCTGTAGCATAATTACTAGAACCCTTTAAACACTCTTGTCTTTACATTCTTGGTTGAAGTCAACATCCATGGAATTTAAGCCATCTTCATCTTTTGAGGGAGTCCCAAAAAAGGCTGAGACCAGAGAAATTATTTTTGCCTCAACATACTCATTGGGCCCTATCACAGATCTAAAACTTCCAAGATTCTTGTAAAAGGCTCCCTAGTCTACAGAAACACTGCCCTTTAACAGTGCTAGTCTTATAGAACCCACAGAACTTTGGGTCCATTAAGCTTCTGAAAAAAATGTGAGTCTTTTGCTAACAAGAATGACAAAAGTGAACTGTGTAGGATTTGTTCTTGTCTCCCCTGTCCATTTCTTGGGCTCAAGTGATAAAAGCAAAATGTTTGGCAAATAAATCCCAAAAACTATCTTATCACCTACTGTATGTGGAAAACTTTCCATTGTTGTTCCTAATATATTTAAGTGGGATGTTCTAAACTAGAAAAATAAGCACATTTACAAAAGAGGGTAGCTTGAACTGTGTCTTTCCTAAGATTCTTGCAACAATAGTCATGGTCCAAATAAAGGCACTGTCCTGTGATGTTTGAAATTCAAATAACTTTTATTTAAATTCTTAAAACTGCATTTAGAGTCAAAACCTTTTTGTTATAAAAATCTTAAGTATTTCTAGTTAAGGCAAAAGTACTTCTAGGTTAACAAGACCAGATTTGACTTGGGACTTTAGTCTTTAAACAAAAGAAGAGAGAGAAAAAATGCGTTATTTACAGAAAACAGTATCTACATATGTACTCGGAGGTACAAATTTGATGACAGAAGAGACTTAAGTACATGCCGGCACCTCAGAAGCAGTTCTCAAAGAGCTTAATTCTATTTCCTTGGATTTTAAGAATGCCTAAGATCCATCTTCATCTTCAATCTTGGGAGCCAAGTAGTACTTTAAATGTCCCATATCAGCAATTTTATACTCTACAACTGAAAAAAGACAGGAACATGGTTAGTTACTGAGAATGACCACATAAACGACTCCTGCAAAAATAAGATAGAAGAAATGTATTCTCTTACCAAGGGGTACATCTGCAGACATACTGAGTGTTACTGTAGGAGAGAGTGGAGTGGCTTTTGTAAAGAAGTTCAGGTACCTCAGTGCAAAAGTTAACTGAACTGGTTCATTCATCTCTATGGTAACCTATGGGAAAAAATAAGATTCATCAGTTACAAAACATCAAGAAAGTTTAATACTCATTTGAAAACCAAAATAAACCTTTTCTGTTACTCTGGAGTGTGGTATGAAAACTAATTTTGAAGACTGGTAGTAAATCAAGAGTCAATAATTTAGCCTGCATTTCATTTATGAATTTTATATCAACCATATTGTGTGGTAAGACTCTTTATGGGAACATTGCTAATAAACAAATCAGTTAATAAATGAAGGAATGAAATATATTAATAGATTCTGGCAAACTCTAATGGCTTAATGATTCTAGACAATTATTTTGGCTGCTAAAATAAGATATCCTCATGTTTCCTACTAGACTATAGTAGGTCATTATGAAGTATTCTTGCTTTCCTATCCCCCCAATTAAGAAAACACCCTGAATATCATCAAGTTTCTAGAGCTATAGCTACCTGCCTATAGGAAACACGGAGTAGAAGAACATATTGACATAAAGGATACAATTGGCAAAACCCAGGCTTCGGGAAACTCAATGACAAATGACTTGGTTTTATTAACAAGTAAGTTAGTTGCAGTGGAGAGGGGAAAGAATGTGAAAAGATAGGAAAAAATTCAAGTGGCCTATCAATGAATTGCAATGTAAAGACTTTAATAAATCTTGATTCAAAACAAACTTCTGAGATAACCAAGGACATAGGAACAATAAAAAATTCCTTAATATCAAATATCTTTGATATTGTAAAATGTTTATACTTTAGGTAGTACCAAAATATTTATGGATAAATTAACATTTGAGATTAAAATAACGGTTGGCAGGGGGTGAAATATAATTTAGGAGAGATAAAAAACTCAGAAATTAGCCTCTGGACTTTTGTTACTGTTTTTTTTTTGGCTTTATTTAAACTGAGTTTTACCTTCATTTAAACTGAGGGTTGACTACTCATGCAAAAGGACAAAAAAACATCCAATGCTGACCAAAAACTTACAATATACCAAACACTATGCCTAGCACTTTGAATGTTACTATATTTAATCCCAATAACCCTATGAGGTTAGGACTTTTGTCTTTGATTTACAGTTAACTGACATTTGTTCACAGGGTAGCAATTAGATTTTTTAATTTTAGTACTATAACTAAGTACTAGTTTATAAATAAGGATCTTTAAAAAAGCACTTGATTACAGGAAAACCTTAATTTAAGGAGATTTAGGAATTACAGTGGTTTTTTTCCCCCTAAATGAGGGTTTCTAGGCCCCCTTTTGAATCTACCATGCAGAAATATAAGGTCTACATAAGAGCTCCTAACAGCTAGACTTTTATCCCTAAGTAGATCCTTCTGTTAATTTGCTGTGCTCAATAGAGCATTTCCTATGCTCAGTTACTTGGTAAAAGCAGAGTAAATTCCTCCAGTAAGCTAGATGCTACCTTCCCAATCCTATCCGTAGCATATGTGTTCTGTGGTTTATAAAGTAAGCTCTGAATCTGCATTCCCCTCTCACAAACTGTAAATTAGATGGCACTTATAAATCACCTGCAGATTTCAGTAGTATCTTTCAGTTCTCACAAAGTAGTCACTTTGAAATGCAATTTTATTTTTCTTTAGTTTAATTTTAGCAATTATCTTGTTATAGACTGTGTCTCTCCCCCCCACCCCCCAAAATTTATGTTAAAACTGAATCCCCAATGTGAAAGTATTTAGAGGTGGGGCCTTTGGGAGAAGCTCTCATGCAGGTTCCACCAGGTTAAGGCTGCTGTGAACTAAAAGCAGGTCCTAACCAGACACTGAATCTTCCAGCTTCCTAGCCTCCACAACTGTGATAAATTAATTTCCATTGTTTATAAGCCACTCAGCCTATAGTACTTGTTAAGCAGTCCGGACAGACTAAGACATAACCTAATATTAATAGTTTCAATTCTCTTCAAACTATTTTGCTTACTTAAAAAGTACTTACAGCTTCCTCCTCTTTATCGACATTACTTGTTTGTGACAACTTAATATTTCCATTTCCAAGTTCTCCACTTGCAGAAAATTTAACTCCATCTTTTGCACAGGAAATTACAACAGCATCTCCAATATGACTGAGATCTCGGCATATACGTGCAAATTCACCAGAAGGCATCTTTACTACACAGCTATACTCCTGTTCCTATAAAACAAACAAGCATTTAAAGGTCAATTGCTAGAAATTAAAGACTTGGCACCCTCACTTTCTGAAGAATCAGCATCTACACAGAACTCAGAGTTTAAGATTTTCTGATTACTTTAAAATATCACTGCGTAATTTCCAACCACTCAAAAAATACATGCAATATAAAAGGAATATAACAATCACACTAAGAAAACAAATTAGAGCTAAAGCCTGTAATAATACACTATCCAGGGAACAAGAGCCTCTCCCTAATCATTTCCAGGGTTAAATCAAGAAGACATTAGGGTATGGCATACAAAACATGATGGGTGTGCAAGCAGGTTGGTCCAACTGCTTTCCCAAACACAAGATACATGTTATTTAAAAAATACCAACACCTCTTTGATGTTGATAAAACTAACCTTAATGAATTTCTGCTAACATAGCCTAAAAATCCCTTAATAAAAAGGATGGTGAGGGTTAATGCAAATTCATACTTGGTAGCAATGAATTCAACCGGTGATCCATTTCAGGATAAAGGAGTTTAACAAAATGACAAATATGCCAGTCTAAATACTAAAACCTCACTTTGAAACATGCATCAGCAGATATATAGAAAAACTTGGTAGGAATTCAGCTTTAAATTAATTAACATATCTTATGTAATTACCATAACTATACAGTTATGCACAATCAGAAAATTTTGATACTCACTGGAATTCCAAGTTGTTCAACATCTAAATCCATTAATTTCATTTCATAATCTGAAACCTTTTCTTGATCTACCAAAAGAAAGTATTGAAGAAAAACACGTTGTTTATAATGATGTAAATTTTACACCCATCACAAAATTTTTCACAGCTCTTGAGAAATACGGGTATTGCATTTTAATTTTCTCTAACTCAGTAAAAGGGTATGACTTACTTGGAGCTTCAAATACTAATGCCAAGGTGTCTGCATTATCTTCAGCCCTTAGTGTAATGATGTCTTCATTGCCAGCACATTTCAGTATTTTGGACATGCTAGAACACAGAAGACACATGTTTTAACATCAACACCATCTTCTCAAGATCGTTAGATTTTTAACGCAATTAAAACAAGGGATTACCATTTTTACCAACTGGACGGTCTGCCGAATGAATTGGGTAAACGTACTGCAGGATTTGAGTCCAACGTAGTAATACTTAAATTAAAAAGCCCACACCTTGCCACAAGCAATTTCACTTTTAGATGTATATAAAAGAGCCGTATTGTATGAATTGCAGATCCCTGTGGTGGGTGCAGTAAGTTACTGGGCCTGGACGATCACTTAAAAAAAATCTAGTATACCTTTTAAAACACACTTCATTAGTACGGGTAAATATTTCTCATAAGCTTTAAATATGTGTAGGTACTGTACAGGTAGTTACTGAAAAGTTGAAAGCCACTGCCCTGGAGAACTGTTTCCTCAAATCTGAGAACTTAAGAGTGCCCTCTGTAACCCTGCGAAAGACCAGAAACGTATTACTCCGTAGGTTGGGTGACAGAACCGGGCACCAGTGGTGCCCGCACTTAATGACCGTAGAGCTGTGCAAGTGATTCGCGGGCACGGTCGAGAAGACCGTCATTTTCCCGCCACCACCGCTTTGTGACTTTGGCGCGGAAAGATCCGGTTCGCGCCGCAGTCAGCGCGGGCTTTCCGAAACGCGCGCTCCGCTGGGTCCCGCCCTCCGGCGTCGCAGGCCAATGAGGAGGTGCCGATGGTCCATGCCAGCCAATGAGGGCCCCGGCTCAGAGGCGCTCCCGCCAAGATCCGGAGGTTGGGGTGGGCGAGGGACCCGCTCCCTGCTGCCCTGTAGCTCACCTGGTGAGGTTCACTCCCATGGCCAAGTTGCGGTCGCAGCGGTACGTGTCGAATCCCTCGGACCGCAAGGTGAGCTGCACCAGGGAGACGTGGGACGAGTCCATGCTCTGCAGGTTCACGCCGCTCGAGCTGATGTCCCAGCAGGCCTCGTTGATGAGGTCCTTCAGTGCCTCCAGCACCTTCTTCAGGATGGAGCCCTGGACCAGACGCGCCTCGAACATGGTGGCGGAGTCGCAACAACGCGGCTACAGACAGGAATAAGGAGTAGTGTAGCCGGCTTTGGCGTCACAAGATGAAGACGAGAGCCTGAGACCGAAGATCACAAACAGCCCGCTGCGCCGGCAACTGTTTAGTACCGCTGCGTCTGCGAGCGCGCGCGCTCAGCCCCTGCGCGCCCTGTGGAGACGTCACCACGCTGTTCCGCCCACTGGTTGGGCGGAGAGACTCCAGGGCCAATCGCGTCCCAGATCCTAGAGAGGCCCGCCCCCTCAGGACATCCATTGGAGAATGCGAGTGTGGGGGGCAGGAGGGTGGCTCCTCTGCGGGGCTGACGAACCAGCTTAGGGCGCGAGTCCCAAGCTTTTTCGTTCCGGCTTCCAAGCTTGGAACTTGTCCGGGCATCTCGTAAAGACAGGTCCCCGACCGAGGTCGTTGAGCTACAATTTTGTGCTTCCTCAATCTTCCGCGTCAGGAGTAGAAAGTTTCTAGACACGAAAGTGAAAGTGAAACGCAAAATCCAGCCATCAAGAGGAAAAGCCGCCTTGGAACCTGAAGAGTACGACTGCTTTGAACTTTACACTATTTTTACTATTGTAGAAGTGACGCTCCTAAAAGTAAAAATGATAAAGCGGTGTACAGTTACGATTTTAAAGACGTTATTTCGGCTCCCACATAATTTCTTAAAACACCCTCCACATACACACACACTGTATACAGCTTTCTAAATTTTTAATACGAACGTTTTTAAAAAGGGGTCATTACCGTAAACATTTCTGCAAAGTACTTAATAAACTTTAATTTTATGCCATCTTTTCTGTCAACACCTCTTAAAAAGGTGACATTCTATGTATGTATCTTAATTGACCAATTGTAGTTACAAGCACCTTTGGGCGCTTGGTGATTTTTGTGAGGTCAACTCCTTGAAGTAGTTTTTCTTGGGCGGGAAGAGCATATGCATTTAATTTTTGATAGATGTTGCAAAATTGACAATTGATTGCCAAAAGATTGCAATTTCCCTTCCAGCCGAGACTATGAATGAGCATACTCATTTCCTGTATTTTCCTAGCTATAGATATTAGCAATGTTTTTAAATCGTGCTCATTTGTGTGAAAATTTAAATTTGCATATGAAAAAATTGTTACAGGTTGATATCCTTCATGTATTTCCTGACTTTTGCATGTTAATATTTTAAAATTAAACCTAATGGTTAAAAGGAACACTATCATTTCTCTATTAGATATGTCTCCCATTTGTTACTGCTTTTTTGCTTTGATTGCAGCATTTCACTTCAGTTCCATTTGGTGCCTTATCTTGGTCTGTAGAATTCTTTAGTTTTTCTACCATATATCTAGGTCTGGATTTACTTTTATTTATCTTGTTCAGGAAATTTTGTATCCCCAAATCAGAAGATTCATGTAATTGCATCAAGTCTAGAGTATTCTGAACCATTATGGCTTCAAATATTGCCTTTCCCTACTCTAATCTCTCTGGCAATTCTATTAAATATATCTATTTCATTGAATTTAAGATACCTTCAATTGTCAGATGTACAGTTGTTTTATGTGGCTCAAGAAAGAAAATAAAATATCAAACTGTTAGGAAGAAAGATACACTTGAGCAGCCGGGAAAGGGGAAGGTAAGTTCAAGGAAAAAACTGCCCAAACTATGCCCATGTAGGGGAGTACCATGCGAAGACTACAAAGGCTTTGCAGAGAAATAAGTTCTTAGCCTACTGGGACCAGGCCGTACTGGTCCCAATCTGATCCCAATGTGGACGCAATGGAACGACACTAAGAACTGCCCCAAACACACCGCACTGATGCTGGGGTTCTTGTTTGAGGAGGAACTTAGCAAACGCCCAAGGTAGGAGAGCCAGGACAGCGGCTTTTATTTAGAAATAAAGTGAGAGGGCAGAGCACCTGGCTCTTGCCAGGAGTGGACCAGAGAGCCCCGGGGTAGTTCGTTGTCTAGGGGATTTATAGGCAGTTGAGGATTTTGGGGAACTGATAAAGGATTTAGGGTGTGGACTTGTTAAAAGTGGCCTTAGGATGTTTGTCCTTGATGAGATATTAAAACCCTTTTAGCATGCTAAAGTGAATCTTACATGTGATTACAAACAATCAGCATAATAAAAACATGGGCTACTTTCCTTTATCTGGGGAGTATCAACTGATCTCACTGAAGAATGACTCTAGAGCTTAATGTTTAACACAAGAGTTTTGGTAGGGGATTTCCTTGCATGTAGTTACATTGCTCTGACTGTAAGTGTCTTGCCCTGCTTTTTCCAGAGGCCCTCACCCTATTCTAACTACACCCACGGTCCCTGTCTCAGCATCATGGAAAAGCCATGAGCACCGTAAGGCTGGAGGCATTGGAGGGAGAAGGGCGAGGACAATGCAGGCGGAGCAGAGATGGCACCAAGTAGCTCTGTGCTGCATGGGGAAGGAACGAACAGCTCTTCCTGGATTCCAGTCCCATGACGTGCTGACAAACTCCTGATGCAGACCCCCTCCATCCAGAAGGAGGAGACCTCTTGCTATCCATCACCCGACCCTGAGTCAGTAAAAATTCCCCACCTACCTCTAGCACGGCCCACTTCCCCCTCCCTTCCCCGTTCTCTTAAAAACTCCCTGCCTCCCCTCCTGGACGCGACTTCCCTGGCATGTGATAGCCAGACCGGAGGACCTCACTCAGAAATTGCGCTCAAATAAATTGCCTGGCCCTTTGTTGCCTCTGGTCGCCTGCTTATTTCGGCTAGAATTTATCTTACAAGCACTGAGAGGGATGGCTGTATAGCTGGACCTGTCAATCAAATAACCCTACCTTGTCAGTCAAAGAGGCGCCTCCTAGCCTGATTGTAATATAAGGGCTTCCCACTTAAAGGATGGAGCCCTCTAACCTTGACTCTGGCCCACTCCACTCTTGGAATGTATTTAAATAAAACTTCCACTCTGCTTCGCTGTTGTATCTGGGCCTTTCAGTTCTTTGTTTTGGCGGGGACAAGGAGAAAAAACTGGACCGCAGTGAAACTGTCACACAATGAGTTATTTAGAATTTCAGTTTTGTAATAATCAAAAACTTTTAGACTTTGAAGGTAAAGAAAAAAAACAACTTGTATTATGTATTGCTTTTGTGCATATGTGAAATATATATATAAATAAAATAGTTTAAGGCATTCCTAACATTATATTCAGTTTCCCACTCAGTTGCTGTCATGTAACATCATATTATGTTGTCAAGGGTGTTGATGATGGAGCACTCTCAGTACTATTCTATCATTGGAACTTCCAAGTCTCTTCCACCCACTTGTACATTTTTTAATTAAAAAATTTTTAAATACAATTTATTTAAACTAAAAGAAAAAATAAAAACCCAGTTCATCCATTTCTCCCCCCTCCCCACTCCCTGCCCCTGGCAACCACCAATCTATTTTCTATCTATGAGCTGGTTTTTTGTTTTCATTTTTGTTTTTGTTTTAGCTTCCACATATAAGAGCAGTCATAAGGTATTTTGTCTTTCTTAGTCTGACTTATCATAATGCTCTCAAGGTCCATCTATATTGTCACAATGGCAAGATTTCATTCTTTTTTATGGTTGAATAATATTCCTTGGATATTGTACATCTTCTTTATCCATTCATCCATGGAGAGACACTTAGTTTATTTCCATATCTTGGCTATTGTAAACAATGCTGCAGTGAACGGGTGTGCAGATATCTTTTGGAGTTAAGTGTTTTCATTTTCTTCAGTTAAGTCCCCAGAGGTGAAATTGCTGGATCACATGGTAGTTCTGTTTTTAATTTTTTGAGGACCCTCCATACTGTTTTCCATAGTAGCTGAACAAGTTTACATTCCCACCAACAGCACCTTTTCTCCACATCCTTGCCAATCTGTTATTTCTTGTCATTTTGATACTGGCCATTCTAATTGGTGTGAGGCAATATCTCATAGTGGTTCTGATTTGCATTTCCATGATGATTGGTGATATTGAGCTTTTTTAATATACTTGTTGGCCCTCTGTATGTCTTCTTTGGAAACATGTCTATTCAGATCTTCTACCTGCTTTACATCAGATTATTTTTTTGCTATTGAGGTAAGTACTTTATGTATTTTGGATATTAGCCCTTTGTCAGATAAATGCTTTGCAATTACTTTCTCCCATTCAGTAGAATGCCTTTTCATTTTGTTGGTGGTTTCCCATTTGTAAATTTTGATACTGACACTTTTTTGCTTTCTGTGATCAACTATCCTTTTGCATATATTTTAATATCAAAACATAACAGTTTCATCTATTTGTGAGTATTTTCCTTTCTTAGGTCTTTTAGAGTGTCCAGTCGTTTGCAAGATAGGGAATATGTTCATTCCTCCAGCAAGGAACATTTGCTTCACTTATAAAAAATGTATGCTCTGCTACCCTATTTCTGTGGTCTCTGTCTACATAATAACATTTTGGTTTAATGCCAAATCAAAGTGCCATCTATTTGAAGACATTTTAAATGACAATTAAGCTCCACTCATGTGGTACCCACAATGAACATGATTAGTTGAAATGAGGACATATGAATGGCTATAACCTAGGTCAGAGACAGCCTCTCCAAGGAAACAGAATTTTACCTGAGATGCTAGCTGTTTGAAAAGTGGAAGAAAGAGTATTCTAGGCTGAAAAAATAGCATGTTTAAAAAGTATAGCATTCTTAGAAGCTGTTCAGATAAGAGTTTGTTTTAGAATTCAAAAATTTTTTTGAATTCAAAGTTCACTGAATTCCTGCTCAGCATAGGGCAGATCCCTTGCCAACTCCTAAAGCCAGGGTCACCTGGTGTCCAGTGTCTGCTTGATTGCATGGCATGGGAACTAAGCCCGTACCATCCTGGAATTGGGGGAAACCTCAGAGCACTGATTGAAGTAAGATTATGTTCTGAGAACTTCCCAAAGGCAAAGAAAGGAGACTTTTGGGCAGACTACTAAAGAGCAGGATCATATAGCTGCAATCTCATCCAGGTCACCCAGGTGACAGGAACTTGCAAGCTCAAATCAGAGATCTCAGTAGCCCTTCCCTACTGGTCTGAAGTAGAAGAGAGAAAGAGATAAGACTATTGTTTAAATCTAGAAAACTGAATGAAGTAGTGAAGTAACAAAGACGTCATGAGGAAAGGTGAAAGGAAAGGAGCGACACACAGCAGCAATTCACCGGAGAATTCCGCTTTATTAGGGAAAGGTGCTGGGTTATATAGGAAGGGGCATGGGGTGATTGTGGTGTTACTTCTACGGGGCTGGTGGCTATTGGCTAGGTGCTGGGAGTGGGAGGGGGGAGAGAGTTGACTGGTCTTCAGGTGGCGCCGTTGGGAACCGAGGACTCAGAAGAGAAGCCGGAAGTTTGCCATCTTACTGGTGGGGGCCCTTCAAAAGGCATCTCTTTTTAAGCTCCCCACAGTCCTGGAAGAGTGTGGAGACAAAACATAATAAGCTGAGCAGTAAGGTTTTATTTCAGGCAAAGTACACACTTTCAGAAAGGGGAGTGTGGGCAACCTCAGAGAAGAGGTGCACTTAAAGGCTTAGGATTCATGTTTTTAAAAATGATTTCAACAATGGGGCAACGGACCAAGGGAGTTTAGGCTTGACATGATGTCTTTCTCTGGTGAGCGATCTTGTATCACCATACATAGCCAGTCCTCTAAATATTCTGTAAGATAAACTTAATACAAGGAATTTAATGATCCTGTTGTCTTCCAAGTTACTGGTTAACCTCAAGCAGTGGGGACATATCATTTAAGACTGCTTGTCCTGCCTGAAGATATGGTTGGTTGTTGGCTAATTGTCATAAAATGTTATGTCTTATTTCCTAATTCCCTGGTTTTTGAAAAGTGGAATCTTAGCCTTAAGATGGAGTGCCTCCTGTTTTTAGTATACATACCTCGGCATTTTTCATCGTGGTCAGGAAAAGTTAATCATGATGCTTGTTCCATGTTTCTGTTCCACGTCACAATTGATGCCAGGGTTTTTGTTTGCAGAGTCGAAGAATGAACTTCACAAACATTCAAGGTAGGAGATAAAGCAAGAGGACAGAACTCCTGGCTGAGGCCAGGAGGGGACAAGAAAGTCCCAGGGTGTTGTGTTGTCTAGGGGTTTTATAGGCGGTTGAGAGACAAAGGACTAGGGATGTACACCTGCTAAGTGGTCCCAAGATGTTTATCTTTGAAGAGACATTAAGTTTCTTATTAGTCTTCCTGGTTATTTACAAGAAATTTACTGCTCTGATTTCCTCCCAGGATAACTGCTTCCTGGTCTGGGAGCATATCACTCCAGACTGCCTGCTTTGCTCCCAAGGTGGGCTGAGTTATTGTCTGTTTGTTGAAGAGCATGTTAAGAAACTTACTTTTTAACTAATTGAGTTTAAAGATGCAATCTTATTTTCAAGATGGAATCCTTCCTGTTTGTTTTGGGCTTGCTTGTTAAATTGCCCAGGTGGCAAATCACTTGACTAGGGCTGGAGGAAGAAAAGCAGCACCTGGGTAAAGTCAGAAAAATAAGCTGAGCCCCCCAGCAGGCCAATCAAATCCCACAATGGATTCTCTTGCTTGGTCTTTTTCCAGAGGCCCCCACCCTACTCTGACTACACCCATGGTCCCTGCCTCACAATGACATTAGTCAAAATGGTGCCCACACACTAAATCTCATTGGATTAAGTTTTAAAATCACCATCAGCATGTTATTTACTTTTATAAATAACATTAAAACAAAAGACAAAACACCAAAGAAAAGCTTTCTCTAAATAAATTATGGTTTGAAGAGAGTGGTCTGTTTCTCCAAAAAACAAGTATTTGTGCAAAGTTTTTAATAGGAAGCAAAGCATACTGAATTCTGTGTTTTCAATACCTATTTTGCTGCTACTCTAAAGCACTGTTACAGGAACTTGGGAATATACTCTTATAGAAATAAAGAGAATATAATGGTTTTCTCAGAATTATCACAACTTTCCCACAAACCCTCAGCTCAGGTCAAATTTGGTAATACTAAAGTACAACTCCTATGTATTCAAGTTTCACTCCTTGTTAAATTACAATATGCTTAAGAGAAGGGACCCCATTTTATGCTTGCTTATATGACAGAAGGCAGTGCTTGAAGAAAACAAGTATTAACAGTTTAGGAAGGTGGGAAGAAAATATAGTGATTAGTGTAGGCTTTGGTAACAGATTTGTGTTCTAACTCCCTGTGGGCACTTTCTAGCCGTGAGACCTTAGGTAAATCATTTTCTTTTAGGAGAAACTGAATTCATTCTACAAGTGCTTAGAATATGTCTGGTACAAAGAGGATTCAGCTGTGAGCTAGGTAGACAGTATTCCTATCCAAAAAAGTCAACAGGGGAGAAGACAGAAGAGGAATCTGAAAAATTGTGTAAGATAATTTTAACTTCCAAGTGTTATAAGGATTACATTTTATAAACGCTTACTTAGTTCAGGGCCTTGCACATAATTGTGCTCAATAAATACTAGAGACATCTAGGTGGAGCAACGGGCCGAAGTTTGGGTTTAAATCACTTCTTTATAACATGATACCCTTCTTACACAAGAGGGCTCCCCAGGCCTTTCTGCTCAGGGCTTGACAAATGTCTTTTTATATGTGTGAGGGAACAGCACTTGCTAATGAGGCCACGAAGTCGAGAGCAGAGAGCAGCAGGGGACCGAGCACCTCTGGGTAGCCTCGTCTCATGCTCCGCAATCCGTTATGGCTAGTGACCCAGGGCGCCAGCACCGGCCACACGCAGTCAGGCCGGAGCTCCTATTGGCTCGTCTCCCTCGGAACGCACGCCTTTTCCCGCCCCCTCACGCGGCTATCCAATGCACGTCTTTCCACTGCTTTCCACCCCGTTCCCCACAGCCCCGCCTCTCTGGCAGATTCGCCCCATTGGTGGATCTCCGGAGCCGGGATGGCGGCGGTACGCGTGCGCGCTCACTGTCGGGCCATCCTGCCGTGAGAAGCTAACTGGCCGAGGCTGGAGGAAGCTGGCCGAGGTTGGAGGAGGTCGACCTCGCTACGCTCGGGTGAAAGGGCTGCGGGGCTGGGTGGGGCTGAGTTCCAGGACTGACGCCCGGGGCTGCCGTTAGTGCTGCGAGTCGCTGCGGAGCCGCGCGCCGCTCAAGGCGGGTCGGGGCCGGCCCAGCGGCGTTCGCGCGTGCCCGCGCTGTGGTGCCCGCCCCGGCTGGAGCGCTCCTTGCCTGCGGCGACGTCGCACCGGTGTCTCCAGCATGACCGAGCTGAGGCAGAGGGCGGCCCGCGAGCCGGATGCAGCGCCCGAGGATAAGGTAGCGGCGGTGTCGGGCTGGGAGCGGAGGGTCCTCGGGTGCGGGGCCGCGGAGCGCGCGTCTGAGGTCAGCGGCTCGCAATCCTGGGACTCGGATGTGGGGGTGGTATCTCGGGGCGCGGGAAGGAGCGCGCGGCGACGGGGGCTTGAGCACGGCCGCCTACCTTGCAGGGCTGGCTGGGGGTCCGCGTCCAGTCCTCCTCCCCGGGGCCTTTCTGGGTGTGAATACTTCGAGAACCCCTCAGAGCTTTCTCTGGCGACTCCTCTGAGCTCGACTTAGGTTCTTCGCTCCCCTTTACAGTGTTATCCTTTGGGGAAGATTATCAAGACAAGACTGGGATTTGCCTCTTAGGACGTTTAAAGCCGTTCTTGAAAATTAAATGCGTTGGCTTTGAGCAGAGAAGTCTCTTGACTTGTGGAGTCAGCCGGTGTCGGAAAGTATACTCAGTAGATGGGCTTGTTTCCTGCTTCAAGTGTGGGCATTGATGGGGTAGAGGAGGAGGGTAAAAAGGCCGTCATGGCGGGGACGCAGCTGGTTGGGGGGGTGGGGTGACAGATGAGGGGAGCAGACTCCTTTCGCTGAAGTGAAAGGTTTGTGTAGGGGAGTTGAAGATGGAAAGTGGTTGTATTACTGTGAATGACAGCCAGGGTTGGGACTTTGTGGTACTATTTTGAGCCTTGAATTAGCAGTGGTCAGGAGCAGTGTATTTGGTAAATTGACCTGGTGGTGATGTGCAGAATGGGCTACGGGAGTCCGAACCAGCATGAAAGAGACTGGGTAACTCGGGCGTTGCCAGTGCAGCACCTGCTGCTATTTTCTTTGGACCACATGTTGCTTTAAAAAACCGGAAGATTTCACCTACCAGTCTGAATTTCTTGCCTGTTTGGATAATTGGAAGATCTGCCATCACATTCCCAGCTGATGAACAAACGTTTGGCTGGAGCTGAGATGAACAGCCGTCCCCTCCAGTGTCTCTACACGAGGCCCACTGTAACCATATATGTGGCTTGCAGATTTGATAACTGGAGGGAAGAGACATACAGAGACATCAGGAAGGATGAAATCACAAGATGGTGACAGGGAGGCAATGGAGCAGGTAAACTAGGAGGAATGTTTTGGGTGAAAGAGAATGGGGTGTTAAAACAACTTCTTTGTTGTTCCTATTGATGATGGATCATCCAAGGTAGACTCTCCATATTGGTTTTTAGAATAAATTCTGGAGAAAATCTAGGGTTTCAGCACAAGTTCAGGAGTTGCTTGCCAGAGGCAAGGTACCTTGAAATCTCTAATCTCCCCATTAAACATTGTGGTTGAGCTTGAAAGAACTCTGTCCACATCCTGCATGTGCTAGTTGGTCAGTGTTCAGATGTTTGGAGGTTATGTAGCCCTAATTAAGGGTGAAACACCAGACTTGATGTTAATGGGACTTCGTGGGCCTAGAAGGTGTGAGAAGAGGTAGAAAAAAGAAGGCTAGCTAGTGGGTTGTATTTTTGAAAAACTATTTTACCCGTAAAAACAAAGCAGAGTCACATGCACAGAAGAACCCCATGGGATTATGAGGTGAAATAAAAATTTTAACCTCCCTACCCGACTCCTTGGGTCCAATCCCAGAGAAAAGTACCAGTTAATTCTTATATACTTTCTCATTCCATTTTTTAGGTAGGGTAGGCATGAGGAGCTGTCCAGCTAAGGGTGACTTAATTTTTTACAACTGCTCTTAAACCATTTATATAATGACAGAATGCCTGGGGGGTTGAAGTCCACTGAGTGCTGCTCCCTAAAACACAGCAGCTACTGCATTCTTTTAGAAGCCTGATGTCATCCACTAGCCCTGAGCAAGACCCTTAGCTCTTCACCCCATTACTCAGTATCTCTGAAATAATCGTGTATGGTATATTTTTAATAAGATATGTTTTAAGAACTGCAAAATACTTTTATTTGCCCTTGATGAATGTATATAGTGAAGTTTTAAAAATGTTGATTCATTCGATTTCATACTTTGAAAAACCTACTTCCAGCATTCTGGCTTTGCCAATATTCTTGTGTGAGAACTTGAGCAAATTAGAAATAATAAAACAAGGATATCTTTTTAGGGAAATTAATTGATAAATAAGAACTTTGTTATTTCATAGTAGAACTCAGAAAACAGTATCAGGTGAACTCATTAAAAGAAGTAGAAAAAATTTGGAATATTCTTTAAAATGATACAGCTGCTTAAATGTGGCAGAATTGTAGATAAACAGCTTCAGAATGATCTGGTGAATGTTTATTATTTAAGTCAGAAGGTATTTTGTTATATTTAGCATCTTAGAATGGAATTTTCAGAGCCAATTGCTAATAAAGGAAATGTTTCCCTCTGGGAACTGTGCTTACAATTTTAAAGTCCCAAAGCACAGTATTGTTGCCAAACTTGGAATTTAAGCTTTGGGAATAATTCTCTTCCTGCCCAACCATGTTTTTCCAATGGAGTTTAGGAAAGAAAAGGATGAAACATGGGTCAAAAGATTGGCATCTTAAAATGTATCATTGGCTTGACATTTCAGTAAACTTTGTTACTGAAGGTTAGAGAGAAGTTTCTGGGGTTTTCTGCTGAACTTTGGTGCTGGAGTGCTATTTAAATTAGAACTTTTACTTGTCCTAAGGCTTCCTTTCTAGATGGATGAAACCAGTTTGGGGAGGAAATAATAACATCATTTAGAAAGGGGAGTTTAAATTTTAACTGAAGACAGTGGTTAAAAAGCAGGGGCATAAGAGTCAGTCAGATCCATCTTGAGCCTGGGCTCTGACACTTACAGTTGAGTAACTGAGCAAATCACTTGATTTGTGTAAAAGCCTCAGTTTGACCATCTCGAAATGGGGACTAATAAAATAGCAAGTGCTTCAAAGGATATTCAGGTGGGTTAAATGAGTATGCATGTTACATGGTAGGGCAGGAACTGTCACATTGTAATAATGTGTTAGCTAATTCCTTCTGCTTGAACTACAGTATTACAGCAAAAACTTTAATATTCACCTTCCATCCTTGGAATATGATTACATCTTCAAGTTAGAAGTGTTTGGAGTCATCTTTTCCTGCTTGACACCTTTTAAGCAAAGTGGTACAGACAGGAATTGGCCTTTTGTGACCTATATTTTTCATTTCATTTTCTTACTGAATTTTTCAGTGCTCAGAATCACAGTTAGCTTTGGCTGCAGGAGCATTGCTGTATGCAATTATCTTCCCTTCATAGCCCTAGCTATAATACATTTTAGGACAATGGTGAAAAATTAAAAGTGGTTTTCTGATAGACAAGAATGAGCTAGTGAAATAATAAAATTTTTCTCTTAAGTGCTATAACTACTTCAGATGTAGGAGAAATGCTTTCAGAAAGAATTTTTTACATTAAGAAATACTTTGAGTATTGAAGAAAAATTAGGAAACCTTAACTATTCTTCTCAGACTTAAGTAGGGAGGGAATAATAATATTGATTTGTTATATGACCCACCATTTTTTTATTAAAGTATCATTGATATACAGTCATACGAAGGTGTCACATGAGCAACATTGTGCTTACTACATTCACCCATATTATTGAGTCCCCCTCCACACACCATTGCAGTCACTGTCCATCAGCCTAGTCAGATGCTATAGAGCCACTACTTATCTTTTCTGTGCTAGACTGTTTTCCCCGTGACCCCCTACATTATGTGTGTCGATCATAATGACCCTTAATCCCCTTATCCCTCCCTCCCCACCCACCCTCTCTTACTCCCTTTCTTTTGGTAACTGCTAGTTCCTTCTTGGAGTGTGTGAGTCAGCTGCTGTTTGTTCCTTCAGTTTTGCTTTATTGTTATACTCCCCAAATCAGTGAAATCATTTGGTACTTGTCTTTATCCGCCTGGTTTATTTCACTGAGCATAATACCCTCTAGCTCCATCCATGTTGTTGCAAATGGTAGGATTTGTTTTCTTCTTATGGCTGAATAATATTCTTTTGTGTATATGTACTACATCTTTATCCATTTATCTATTGATGGACACTTAGGTTGCTTCCATATCTTAGCTATAGTAAATAGTGCTGCGATAAACATAGGGGTGCATATGTCTTTCTGAATCTGTGGTCTTGTTTTCCTCAGGTAAATTCCTAAGAGTGGAATTCCTGGGTCAAATAGTATTTCTATTTTTAGTTTTTTCAGGAACCTCCATATTGCTTTCCACAATGATTAAACTAATTTATATTCCCACCAACAATGTAGGAGGGTTCCCCTTTTCTCCGCATCCTCGCCACCATTTGTTGTTGCTTGTCTTTTGGATGTTGGCCATCCTAACTTGTGTGAGGTGATATCTCACTGTGGTTTTAATTTGCATTTCCATGATAATTAGTGATGTGGAGCATCTTTTCATGTGCCTGTTGGTCATCTGAATTTCTTTGGAGAAGTGTCTGTTCAGATCCTCTGCCCATTTTTTAATCAGGTTATTTGCTTTTTGGGTGTTGAGGCTTGTGAGTTCTTTATATATTTTAGATGTTAACCCTTGTATATGACCCACCATTTTGTTTATTTTCATATTGATCAAGCAGTCTAATTTTATTTTAAAAATTCATTTGCTTTCTGATATATAACTACTTAAAATTAGGTTTTTTTTAAAAAGCTAATTTTGTTTAAAATGTCTTGTGTTTGTACAAATTTGTGACATTTCCTTAGAAGAATTTACATCTCTTTAAAATGTTAAATTGCTCTCATTGTGAAAGGAAAGGAGCGACACATAGCAGCAATTCACCGGAGAGTTCCGCTTTATTAGGGAAAGGTGCTGGGTTATATAGGAAGGGGTATGAATTGATTGAGGTGTCACTTCTACGGGGCTGTTGGCTGTTGGCTAGGTGCTGGGATTGGGAGGGGAGCGAGAGGTGATTGGGCTTCAGGTAGCGCCGGCGGGAACCGAGGACCCCAAAGAGAAGCCGGAAGTTTGCCATCTTACTGGTGGGGGCCCTTCATTCCCCCCTTTCTCCTCTGGTGTTGTG